AAAATAAATAAAACAGTATGTTAAAACAATAATGGAGGAGGGGGAGGAGGAGGAGGAGGAGGAACAACCTTGTGTTTCCTTGAATATAAAGTTGTGTAAATTGCATTGTAGGCTAAATTGTAAACACATTTCCTGGTTTTAAAACTGGACTGGATTTATTTTCACTAGCAAATGTAAAATGACTTGAAAACATTCACTTTCTCACACAAATACTGTTCATTCATCAGTTATTTGCATCTTCTACTACTTATTTTTTGATTACTAAGATCATGTTCAATTACAAGTTGGGCTTTTAATGTAAAACACTGGAACAGGAAGTGCTGAGCATCACTGACTTATTTTTTCTTGTCTTGATTTTATCCAATGGCGTTTAGTTGACTATTGCTGTCTGTACATTTACTACATGCTACAATTTACAGTTCTTAAATTACAGTGCGCAATAGTCCAGTTCACTGTGAACTGTTTTAGTCAGTCATGTACAGTGAACTATATTACAGTGAAGTATGATATACATTCATTCTCAGTGAACTATATTACAGTGAACTATGATATACAGTCATGTAGAGTGAACTATGATATACAGTAAGGCTGGGCAATTAATCGAATTTTACTTTCGATTGTGATTTTGGCCTCCAACAATTATAAAAACAAGATAATCAAGAGAAACGATTATTGTGCCACATTCTGTTTCACAACAAATTTCATCCATGCTACAAAAACCATCCGTTATCGGTTCCCCTTCTTGGTACTGAAGGAATTAGGAAAATACCTGACCATTATCCAGCTGATTGTTCTCGATGTGTTTTTAAATTCAATCTGAAATGGACAGAGTATCATCTTAACTGTCGCATCTTAACATCACTTTTTGTTTTGGAATCAGTTTTTTTTCCTGTTTTCTTTTCAAAGTCAATGAGAAATCATGTTGAATAATCGTGATCACAATATTGATCAAAATAATCGTGATTATGATTTTTGCCATAATGAAGCAGCCCTAATATACAGTCATGTACAGTGAACTATGATGTACAGTCATGTACAGTAAAACTGTATTACAGTGAACTACGATATACAGTCATGTACAGTGAACTACATTACAGTGAACTATGATATACAGTCATTCACAGTGAATTGTGAAGGGTCAAGGGGGGTCGATTTACTCACTGGTCTAAAATGGTGTCGAGGCCTGGTGTAAACAGCAACTAGCTCTCTGAGTCACTGTCCTCACTGTCAGACGAGGCAACTGTGTAGTTCAGAACCTAGTCTGCAGTGAACCAGGTCTTTGCTTGAGTCACTGGCATTTCAAAGTTATTTATTGGGGATATTCTTACACTACAACTCCTGTGTATATGCGTTTTTTCTGCTGTTGTTTGTATTTCACACATGCTTTGACAATTCTGAACTGAATATTTAGCAAACTGCATTACATTTTGTTTTGTAGGCCAGAGGAGGACAGCAGCTCAGACTGATGCAGAGCCATCTCCAGGAAAGAGACGTCGCTCCTCCTCTGCTGCAACCAGCACTGCTGCAACCAGCACTGCCGCCACATCTACACCTGCTATGGATGCTGTGATCACCCCACCCACCACTGGACGGTCTTGTGCTGCCAGAGTTGTTCGAGGTAGAGCCAGATGCAGAAGAGGAAGAGGTCTCAGCCCTCATCCTCAAGACACACCGCACCCCCTGCTCCCCAGCAGCAACAATCTGCACTATTTCATTGAGGGATGGAATGTGGAAAAAAGTGATGCTGGCACAGCAGATAGGAGAAAGTGTGTCCTCTGCCACAGGAAAACACCCATGGGAACTTAGAGCTGTGATGTGCCCCTGTGTTTTGTTGTAACAGGGACTGTTTCAATGCCTGGCACACACAGAAAGGGCTATAAAGAACCCTGCCCCTGAAATGTTATTTTGTAGATAGTTATTTATATATTTGTTCATTTATGTGCACTTTCTATATTTTTGGTATTTTTGTATATAGTTAAAACGAGTGCAATTACTGTTTTGGGACCATTTGTGAATAAAAATTCCTTTTTTTGAATTGAGTTGAATATATTCATTTTTGTTTCATGCATAGAGTTTTGTTTGGTCACATGACAACAGCTGCTCCAGGCGAGGAGAAAAATGACTAGTTGGCAAATGGCATGTTTGAACTGATGTAGTTTAGGTTGGGATTTAGTCCAATAATAAAATGTACAGAAACTACAAGATGTCACCTTTCAAATGATGTCTCATATATGCATTTTGACCTTACAGTTCTTCTGTTATAAGCTTTGGCATTTGGGTGTGCCAAATAGGCGAGAATTACATTAAAAGGAGTGGGTGCTAAGAGGTTAAGGTGACAGGTAAACATGCAGGTAGGGGTGGGCGATATATCGAATATACTCCATGTATCACGGCTTGTTCCATGTGGGATGTATAAAATGACAATAGGGGCGCCTTGGTGGCTCACCTGGTAGAGTGTGTACCACACTGCCTTAGTCCCAACCGCAGTGGCCACGGGTTCAAATCCGACTCATGGCCCTTTGCTGCATGTCATTCCCTCTCTCTTTCCCTGACTTACCTGTCTGTCTATCACTTCACTATCCAAATAAAGGCAAAAATGTAAAAAAAAAAAGATAAATAAAATTACAATTTTACAAACATTGAGTTTGAATTGTCACATAATTGGTTTAATATGCCGGCATGAAGTTCTCTTTGGTGTTTCACTCGTCCCGCTTTCTCCCTCTCACAGACACACTTCCGCCCATCCAGAAATCCATGTGTAACGTAGACGAGGAGGTGTGTGTCTTTGTATGCTGCATGGACAGCTGTGGTTGCTACAGACGTGTAGATGTTTTCATTTACACTCTGCCCAGAGTCTGCTTAGAGTATGCATTTCATACGTGCAGTAGATCATCATCTATGTATTTCACGCATGCACACTACTAATCACTCATGCACTTACGATTGCAGAAAGTATGATACTGACTTTGGACACTAAATTTGGGGAGGGGCCAAGCTTCTGAGGCTTCATCCACACTAATAAGTTTCAGTTTGAAAATACATCTCTTTTCCTACATTTCCTTCTGACATCCACACTACTCTAGAGTTTTCAAGAACCAAAAACTTAGACTTTTGGAAACAGAGACTTTTAGAAACTGTGACGTAAACATCCATGGTTGCTTTCTGAATGGGTCTCACCAGCCCCTACTACAAGTGGTGAAAGCAATATGGATAATGAAATACAAGCGTTACTGACCTTGCTGTCTTTGCTAGCAGCTGTTGTTCAGTTATATTCTGCATTTTAATGCAACGACTGTCTTTGCTGTTCCTCATTCACAGTATTTGTTGCAAATAATAAACTGTAGAGTTGACTCAACTGCTTCTTGTGTACACCAGCTCGTGCATGCCCAGAGTACATGAATGGTCATGTATGTGTTTTTAGGTGTGATAGTCTGGACAGAGATCATTATATTCTGAAAACACTGTTTTGAAATGAAAATGTAGTACTTTGGATGTAGCCTGAAAGAGCACTAAAGGGAGGGGTGTATTTGTTTTGCTGTTGAGTTCAAATATGAACAGTCTTTCTTCCAGAACCGCTCATTCCAGCATTAAACACTTAACATACTAAACTCCACAAAGGGGGGACTCACTGCAGAGCTGCTCTGTTGGCTTTCATCACATAACTGGATGTTTTAATGTAAACTACATGTGTGTACTCTCACTGAACACTCAACAGTGTGATGAAAGCTGTACAGAAGTCTCTCACACACACACACACACACACACACACACACACACACAGACAGTTAACTATATCAACTTGAAGCATAGTTTTTGAATAGGGGTTATTGTTTGGTTCTTAATTTGCCCTGGAGTATCTGAGCCCACATGACTGGACAGGCTGATGCATCTTCATACCACTGCTTGACCTTTCTCAGAGTGACTGAGAGGGAAGATGCTGAATTTATTCAATTGAAGTTTCAGAGTTCATTTCATATACTGACTGCTGCCAGGGCTCCAAGCCAAGACAGCCCCCCACCACCACCACCACCACTACCCCCGCCCCCGAGACCAAAGAATGAAATTCAGTCTGGGATTTACATTATTGTGGTTTCACCCAAAAAAAGTCAATAAAAACACACATTGTGACATTATTGGCTGAAATGTGGGCCACTCCACTGTACTGTACATTCCAGCATGTCTCTGAAGTCTGCCTTTTATGGAAAACACACAAAGAGAACAGGGCTGACACTGTAGTTTGCTTGGGAAACTCTATTTGTAACATTTATACTACATACAATTAGTCAGATTTGTCAAACTGTAAAAACTTCTATTTTAAAAGAAAAGACGTGGTCATCAGAAAGTCAGAAAGCTACATACATGCCTCCAATCAAGAGACGCTCAACCAAAACACGTTTAAAAAATCTTACAATTTACTGCTGCCTTACATACAAAGAAATGAAACAAAATGGATAAAACGTAACTCTTTGTTTTCAGAAAAACTAACATCTTCCGTTAATTTCGGCATAAAAAATACAACTCAGTAATGTCAACTTTCTGAAGCGTTTCACTTTATTTCCCCCTCAAACCAGCCACCTATAAATCTGAGGAGGGTGCAGATAGGAAATGACCACACATGGTTATGACTGTAGAGGTTTACCAGTGTTACTTAGTAGTTGTGTGTTCATTTTTGGACGCAGCCAAGGATGAAACCAGACGACTCAACAAATGTCTTCTGGGTCATATTTGCCTCTCGTCTATGACTGGTAAACACCGCGGAATTAAATTACCAGATTTTTAAATGGAATTTGGTTCACGTACCCCACCTCTTCATTTAACGGCTCAGTCAATGACTCTGAGAAAAGTTTGATGCTATCACATCCAAATATTTCCCGCTTCACCTAAAACCCGACAGACTGAATGACACTCTTGAAACCCTTCGTACCAGATTATCTACTGAGCTTCAGTGTTTCTACACGCAACTGGTAGATACTAAGAAGTTGGACAGTATGTCTCTTTACCTTCCTCTCCGGTGTGTCCGCTGGCTCTTTCCAAAGTCCCGTTCAGCAACAGAAAAGACAGAAAAAGGAGCAAACGTCCACATTTTGCCGGTGATATTTGGCCATTTTTCTGCCTGTGTTTACTGTACATCCCTGTGACCCTCGGTACCACCGACCGTCCTCCTTTTCCTCGCCGTTGTTCAACTCTGCCTCCCTCTCTGCCTCCCCCGAGCGTCAAACAAGACAGAGTAGAATGCAGCACTTCCTGTCTGTACCATCAACATAGAGGTACGACGAAAGTATCCAAACCACGATTGAAAGCGAACACTGGCCATTTTAGCAATTAGGGGGTAAAATAAGGTATTTTCTTCATTTAGAATTATAATTTGAAAACAACAATTAGCTAAGACTGTGGCAATTATCAGGTAACATAATTACAAGAGATGTGTTATTTATCTCATAATAATTCTCTTTAATATTACAGCCTATAAAATTTCAGCATTAGCATTTTCTTTATTTGGTTTATTATCCTGAATTTCCAAGGATTGATAAAGTGTCTATCTATCTATCTATCTATCTATCTATCTATCTATCTATCTATCTATCTATCTATCTATCTATCTATCTAAGATTTCCCTAATGAATGTAAAGCAGTAGCAAACTCTCGGAGTGCAGCTATCACAACTTCATAGCTTCAAAAGTCAATACTTTTCAAGAAATAAAGAAAAACTTGAACTGAGTTTCAGTTCAGGAAAGAAAAACTATAGGAAAAGAGTTATAGTTCACTCAGCTTTGTTTTATTCATGCACAAAGTCAACAAGAGGTTAACAGTCAGCAGTTAACTCCACCAAAGACACTACAGGGCAATTAAATACTGTCAACTATAATATTAAATGTTTTATTGTCTGCTTACATACTAATGTTTCCTTTACAGCATAAAGATTTCCCTGGGCATTTTGAAAAATTGTGTACTTGACAATTTAGGCTTTTATTTTGAAGTCAAAATCAACTCTCATCCGGTCATTTTCTAACTGCGTTTAGCTTGACACCGTTTGGCACGCCACAAAACCAGTCCTGGATTTGGCTGATGATGCTTCACGATTTTTTGTAAAACTCTTTGATTTGAATCCACAGAAAGACTTTCCTAAAAGTCACGTTCGTTTTAGTCACAAAAATGTGTCAAAATATGTTGGTTTCATGTTTCAGCATTGAAAAAAAAATCATAAATTGTATGAGGAGCTGATGATCAATCATACAAAAAATAAATACATAAATAAAAAATGTTGCTGTGATTCCAATTAAACAAATCTTTGCATGCCGAAAAGGCTGTCATCAAACCTCCACTGGAAGGTGTTTTGTCTGGTTTAAAGGGGGGAGATAGTACAATGATGATGGTACGGTGCCTCCCTTTGCTCTAATGTGTATAAATTATTGCTTATCAGTTTGCATAAAGTCAGGAAAATGAGACAGGATGAATTATGCATCGCAGTTCCCTGCGATGCATAATTCCATCTCCATGTTCAATTTGGTCGCCATTTACTCACATCCAAAGATCCCATTATATATTTAGATTATAGGACACACGGAACTTCACTGAAACAGAACAGCTCAGTGTAAAAGGCAAAGGCATTTCTCATGTTTAAAATCACTCATTTATAGTCCCCAGAGTCCCAAATATAAATTAATTTTATTCCTGCACAAACAAATAAACATTTTTTTGTACAAAGTAACAAACAAAATAAAGTGTAAATTTACATTTATTGTTCAAAAGAAGAGTTAACCCTGTGTAACAGTAATTTCTATAGCCTTTCATTGAGTATTTTATTGGTTTTCTTATTTCCTGTTTTGTGATTAGACGGGCTTTTATTTTTGAAAACTACCCGCTGTTATTTACGTACTTCCTGTGGTGCGCAGAGAAAGACGGTAACTTAACTACAAAGGTAGAAACAGTGAAAACCATAAATAAAGAGAAACATGGTTAAATTAGAGCACAAACAGTAAAATATGAATGTTTAGCACCCCCTGAAGAGGCGCAAGGTTAGTATTTGTCAGAATACTGTTATGTCAAGTTGTGGTTTGTGCTTTTAAAGTAGTTTTTGAACTTAAAATAACTTTTCTTTCGCTTTGATTTATATTCATGTTAGCTTAATGTGAGCTAGTGTCAGGCCATAGTAATCCAATGAAACTATGGTAAAATAACTCATGTATTTTTTTTTTTATGTTTTTTACTCAGCTCTTACGTTGATTTTGGAATTGTTTCAGTAAATCTGAAATCTGTCAGACTCAAACTTGGACAGGACCCAAATGCACGACTCAAAAAGATCAACAAAATGATATTTATTGGCAAAGTACAAAAGAAAATCACTCTGAGAGGAACCAATGACAAACGCCAGTGAACCAAAAATCACTCTTATGAGGAAACAGCAAAGTAACAAACTAGAGGAGGCAAAAAGAAAAACAATCTGAGAGGAACAAATGACAACCGCCAGAGAACCAAAAATCCCTCTTATGAGGAAAAATCTAAACAAAGTAACAAGGAACAAGACCTGAATCAACAATGACATGGAGCGTGGGGCCGGGAGGTTCATGGAAACAGAACAAGACGAACTGGCACAGAACAAAGGGAAACGCAGACAGATATACGCAAGGTAATTGGGAACAGGTGGAAACAATCAGGGCGGGGAAGACAATCAGACCAACAGGAGACACCAGGATGAAGGGCAAGTTATCTGAAACGAGAGGAGAGTCAAATGTCAAAATAAAACAGGAAGTGACGAGACAACATAGACACAAGACAGAAAACTAAACACAACCAGACACAGATCATGACAAAATCATCAGTCAAGTGTCGGACCATCTTTCGGAGGGATTGCTACATTATGACTTTGTAAAAGGTGATAACTTATGTGAATAATTTGACATTTTTCAAACAAGATTATGAGCTTGTAACAGTCGAAATTGTGAAATGTGCCTTTAAGACATGCTGTTATCTAAATACAAGGAGGTGCTGCATCATTAGCCCACACTTTGTTTTCCTTTTTAGTTGAGCAGTGCACCTTGATGGAAGAGGATGCCTATTATTGAGCTCCTTATTCTTTAAGCTCCACAACTCCAGAGTAATGTTTGGGGAACGTGTGGCTTCTGTTTTGTTCGTGTATGATAAGATAGAGCTGTCCAAATGGGCATGGTAAGTTTTTGCCTCCTCTCCTTTTCTCCACGCTCCCCAAACTGCCTCAACTCTAATACACAGACCCAAACTGTTGCAAGCTTCAGTTGTCGACGTCGTGAAGGAGTTTGTGTACTGTGATGACTACCTCTCTTTCTTTTGCATGCATTACCACCACAGTTAATTCAAACACTGAGCTTTACACCTGTAGCCACACTAAATATATAAACATTTTGTGCCACTCCAGTTTTAAAATCCTTCCTCCCAGTGTATGTATGTTTTTTATCGTTCTGCCCTCTCTGTCTCTCAGCTCTGTGCAAAAATCAAACAATCTGAACCGCTTCACTTCTCACTGGCTGTGTTACCCTCAGCTCTGCTCTATCTGGCCACGGACAAAATGCCATAGCCTGGTCTGGTGCAGAGAAGCTATCTGTGTCCTCCAGAGGACTTAGATCATGTGCTGGTGAGCTGCTTGTGTTACGCCCATGAAGTTGCGTACTCTTGGAGTGCCTGTGAGGACAAATAACAAAGGCACTGTGGGTGAGCTGGTCTTCAGTTGCTTTACTTAAAAACGTTAACTGCCAACTAAATCAATACATTAACCACAATAATCACAATAATCACAATTACTCTATTTCAAAAATGCAATGAAAAATTATTCACCAGATATTTACAATGTTAATTCTATATCATTTTACTATTTATAATTATATTATTATATATATATATTATTATAAACAATTATCGTATTCCCCTTTATATATTAAATCACAAAACAATCATATTTACAATGTATCTATAAGAAAATCTCCCTCTTCCTATTTCTGCAGCACCGCAGCCTGAGCGCTTGCTGGTTGCCTAGCAACGGTAAACTGCGCTGTGCTGTTAATCAGCTGCGGCTCGCAATGTAGCTGTTATATACCGTTAACTAACTGCCCAGTCAGAAAATAACAAATTAACAAAACTATTGGGACCTAATGACAAAATATACAAAATATAAACGACAAAACACTATAACATTAACTTTCACACACACACATCTATCACCGGAGGAGGGCAAACTCTCTCTCTCTCTCTCTCACTCGCTTCCGTTAGAAACACTAAGCTGACACCGAGTTACACATTTAACATATAAGCAAGATTATCGAAAGCGCATAACAACACACAAAACAGAAAGCACACAATATTTACAACATGTACGACCCTTTTTCACCTAATTTATCCACCTGTGAGGACAAATAACAAAGGCACTGTGGGTGAACTGGTCTTCAGTTGCTTTACTTAAAACGTTAACTGCCAACTGAAGATTGCAGCTTGCCCACAGCTTATATAGCCTCACAGGTGGTCTCGTACCTGGAATATGAATGTTTAAAATCTTAAGGGGGGGTGTCTGTAACAATATAAAACATATATACATATAAACAACACTCATTAATAAGTGGGCAATTAAATTAATAAATAACATTAAATAACTATCCTATTTGCCACACTTGCTCTGTAATGTGTGGACTTGCAGCACTCAGAGTGTGCTGACAGGCCAGGATGAAGCCCAAAGTCGTGCCTGTGTCATGCCCGCTCTCTTTGACTGTGGAATTATGGCGAGGATTTAGACTTAGCTGGCAGGACAGGCTGCGGAATGAGATGGATTTATTTCACCTCATCTGGAAAATGTCTCCTCTGCCGTTTGACCACTTCAGTGAATCTTTATCCTGCCGGTAGGAGAGTGGATGCTGCGCTCATTCTCTGAGCCACGGCACAAATGGCTTGTTTTTGTTGTTGTTGTTACTCGGCTCTGGGGGGATACTGTCACCGCTATTCACAATGAAAGGTCAAAATTTTAGACCCAGACACATTCACACTGCCCAGGGAGAGAAAACACTGTGCCAGCCAAAGGCATCAGAGAGAGGCCTGTAACGGCCACAAGTCTTTCAGAATATACTTCTACATGTGTTGATATTGTTTTTGTCCTGAAATACTGAATAAATTGCTTCACATTCAAAGTGTTTCAATGACGCTGCATGAAAGAC